ACCTGTTGATGGACATTTAGGCTGTTCCCATGTTTTGGCTATTGTAAATAGTGCTGCTATGAACATTGGGGTGCAGGTGTCATACTGAAGTAGATTTCCTTCTGGATACAAGCCCAGGAGTGGTATGTAGTGGTTTTATATGTATTATTTCATCTAAGAATTATACAAAGTAAATACTAATTTACAAGTCCATTGCTTTCTCTACTACATTGCAAGTGCCTCAGTAAATATGTACGTTATCTGGGTGGAGGAGGTAGCACCTTATTCATTAGACATATATGTATATATGTATTTTTTTATTCTAATTTAGCAAAAATTAATGCACTGAAGATTTGAAAAAGATAAATCATTTTTAGTGGAAAATGAACTGGGGAAATGACTGGGTAGAAGAGCTAAAATACAAGGATTATTTTTGGAGAAGGGCAGCTTCCAGTGGAGTCCAGAAAGAAGCCAATAGTAGGTAAACAGGAAGAAGAATAAACTGAGAAAGAAGTTGTCAGTGAAAATAGGATGAGGGTCTTGAGAAAGAGGTAGGGTGTTGAAGAAGACAAACCACTCACATCACAATTTTTTTCTAAAGTTTATTCTGGATTTATTGGATACTTTGATGCTTGAAAGAGCTGCATGTAATAGCTGCAAAGTGTTAAAATTCATTAAAATTTCAAGAGCTGATGGCTGTTTTCAGTTACTACAGGGAACACTCTAGTTAGCTCCATTGTCATGAGGAGAAGGAAGCTGATGAATCTTAAGAAACCTTTGGCAGGAAACTTGAGAAGCATATTAGCTCAGCTCAACAAACCGTGGTCATAAACAACTTCCTCAGGAACACTATCATGAATACTGAGATGAGTAAGCTCTTGAATTTTAAAAATATTTTTTATATTTCATCATATTTTTATTCTGATAATAATAAAATCTGACCGATTAAAAAAATTATAAGTGAGTATGAGCAAGAGAGAATTCCAGCATCCGGAAATACCCCTGTTAACATTTTGGTATGCTTCTTTTCCAAATATTTTTCTGTTCATTTTTTGTTCACAGAGAAGAAATCATATCATACAATCAATTTTATGTCTTACTTTCTCCACTTACCATTTTGCAAATAAAGTCTCCAAGCTTTTATTTCAAACTCTTTAATACCATTTGTTAACACAATATTTTATTATCTTAAGATACTGTGACCCCACCATTCCCCTACTCTGGACATTTAGTTTGCTTCCAAATTTTTGGCAATTACAAATTACACAACTTACTGATGAACATATGACTGACTCTTTAATGACATTTAGAATTACTTCCTTAAGATAGATTCCTGGAAGTAAGATTATAAGATAAAAAGCTATGGATATTTTTAAGCATTGTGACCCTTCACGCCAAAATGTTTTCCTAAAGAGCTGGGTCATCCTACGTGATCTCCTCCAGCAGTGCAGGGGAGCTAAAAAGGCAGTATTTTGATGGGAGTGAAACCAAGTTCCAGGAAGGAAAGATAGAAATCAGTTTCACTGGCAGATTTTAGCCTAAAGGGAAAAGTCCAAAAAGGAGAGAGTGAAGTGCTCCCTCCCACAGAGAGAACAGCAGGTGATAGGAATGCGAGCCTATCGGGACTTTTCCCAGATCAATGGGGGGAGTCATCTGCTTTTGCCCTGCTCACCGACCTGGGGTTCTTGTGTTTCCTCATGTTTCCACCACAGTTGAATCAAGAAAAAGAGAAAATCTGAATAGTTCTATATCCAATTTTTTTAATGAATTTTTAATTAAAAGTTGTCCTATAGTGAAAATTCCCGAACCAGATGGACTCCCTGGTGCTCTGGTAGGAGATGTTGACACTGGAGGAGGATCTGCACGGGTAGGGAAAGGAGGGTATGTGTGAAATCTCTCCACCTTCTTCTCAGATTTGCTGTGAACCTAAAACTGCTCTAGAAAAACCTATCACCATTTGATATCACCAAATGATATCACTTATATGTGGAATCTAAGAAAATGACACAAATGAACTTATTTACAAAATAGAAATGGACTCAGACACAAGAAACAAACTATGGTTACCAAAGGGTAAAGGTGGGGAGGGAAAAATTAGGAGTTTGGGATTAACAGACACATACTAATACGTATAAAGTAGATTAACCACAAGGACTTACTGTAAAGCATAGGGAACTATATTCAGTATCTTGTAATAGCCTATAATGGGAAAAAAATCTGAAAAAGAATATATATATATATATATATATATATATATATGTAACTGAATCACTTGCTGTACACCTGAAATTAACACAACATTGTAAATTAACTATACTTCAATTGAAAAATGGTTCAAAAGAATAAAAATTAAAAAGTGAAGCAAACTGAGAGAGACAGAGCAGAGGGAGGGAGGGAGGGAGGGAGAAGGGGAGAGAGCAAGAGGGAGCAGGCGAGAAAGAAGGCAAGTCACCAGGGACACTGCCAGCACTGATATGGGGCAGCTGGCTTTCAGCTTCAGGACATTTTGTGTCCCATGAATGGGAGCTCAGTGTTGCTCATCATATAACTTTTCAGGACCAGTGGAAGAGCTAGGATTTTGTGTGAAATAGTCTACATCTTAAGGCTGGCCCAAGTAAACTTTTTTTAACCACTATGGGAAGCAAAATAAGAGCAAAGACAAAACCACAAACATTTAAGGATGTAATCTGCCAGCAGCACATTTGTAGCCTTCAGGCTGTTTAGAAAGTTGTGGGGAGCACTTGACAGTTAGGAGTCTCGGAAGGACAGCATTTAGTTGGGACTGAGAGGGAGAGGCTTGAGAGCTGGTGTGAGGCTATCAGGGTAGCCCAGGTGAGGACGGATCATGTGGACTTGCCCTTGGTTCCTGGAAGTGAGGGGAAAGAAGGCAGTAGGTGGGGCCTAGCGCCTGCTGCAGAGGAAGGTGTAGTAAGACTGGACCTTTCTCAGAGAACCAAGAGTTACCTTCTATTCTGTTTCTCCTCATCGAAAGGCCCTGCCGGGGTTTCGCCCTGTGTGTGACACATCCTCAGCTGACCTTTCTTTGAGCTGATGGCATGTTTTAATTGCATTGCTATTGTTTATTTCGCAGTTCAACACTTCCTCCCTGCAGGTAAACCTGAATGCACTTCCAAGTGAAGGCTGTAATCTTTCAGTTTGCCAAATAGGAACCCATCTTATTCTGATGTGGGTTTTTTTTCTCCTACATTTCAAGATCAAGAGTTTGCAACTATATTACTTGAAAGATAAATGAGTCATGGGAAAATGTAGTACTTTTGAAGAAGAGTATTCTCCTCGCTTTATCTTCTTGTGCCCATCTCTTCTCTTTGAAGAAACTTTTGCTAATCACGACAGCACTCAATAACCCTTTACTTATTTCTTTTGTTATTCTAAAAATTTCTAGGGTATAGTTCTTTTTCAAAATGTGGAGATGTATTGTGTGTTCGTACAATCACAAGACTGTATGCTTATTAAAATGATGTTATTTCCAAAAATTACAAAACAGAAGTGTAAATATCCCCACTGCTATGTGTATTTTAAATGATGTCTTCTATATACTATCTCAAAGCCTGAATTTTCTCATTTAATATAAATACATGTGTATATACATTTCAATAAATATAAAATTGCATTGGCAAAAAGTCTTCTAGAAATAAATTAAAATAATAAAATAATCAATCAGATTGTTTGCCTGAGGCAGGAGTATTTGCATAGAGAGGGGCATGGGCCCGACAGAACTTTCCAAGTGATGGAAATGGTCTATATTTTCATTGTGATGGTGATTACATGGATATATATACATTTGTCAATGTGGTACCATTAATATTTGGGCATTTTATATTATGCAAATTATGCTTCATTCACGTTGAAATTTTAAGAATAAAAATGTAATTGCCAGTTCAAGAAAAAAATGAATAACCTCTATGAGATATAAAAGGTAGTTTCTCTTAGAATGAATGCTGTAAAATAGACAGAAAATTCAAAAGTATAGGAACTGGTGAGAAAGCAGGACATTTTATCCTGGAAGCAACCATGTTTTCAATATTATACCTCTCCTCGTGGAAATAGACATTATTACTCAAAATAAATAAGGACTGGGCCTTAGAAGAGAACTGTGTGAGTGAGGAGTGCTGAAACTCAAGATTCACCAGCTTCATCTTAAATCCCCCTGGTGTTTACGTTTCCTGTGACTTAAAATTAAAATTCCATTAAGTCATATTCTGTGATATCTAATGGAAGACACCAAGTTCAGGTTTTACTTAAAATTTGTCTCTGGCCCCATTTGTTGTACAATTAGAATGATTTCAAATAATGGTTTCAAAGTTGAATTTTATTTGCAAGCAAAAATGGAATTAAAGGAGGGAGAAAGGAAAAGTTTGCTCAATCACGTCGGCAGTGTCGTAGCCTCGGAATTAAAGCAAGAAATCGATGAGAGCTGGTTTGTGGTTTTTTATTTTTCCTTTTCCAAACACATTGCATCATTCATTTAACCCCATTACTAATCCGATTTAAAGTTTTTTGTTGATGTGCTGCACAAAGGACTTTGGGTTTCTCTGTTCTAATCTAGAGAATGAAAAGGTCTTCAACAACGACATCTGAAATATTTTCAATGAAGTTCTTAATATGGTCAGATAAATATAAGCACATTTTACACAACAAGATCATAGTATATTAAGACACTTCTTTGATGACATGGAAATTGCCCGTAGTGAAGCGGGAGCTGGAGAAAAATCAAGAGAACCCAAAGCACTGTGTTAGCCTCTCTGGTTTTCTCTCCACTCTGCGTTCGAGTCAACTAAAGCAGGGAGTTGAAAGAGGTCTCAATGGCATGTCTTTCATAAACAAGGAAAGTAGGCTGTTGGGAACCAGGAACTGAGCATTGATAAGCTTAAGATGTGAGCTGATGTTTTATAACACAGACCTTCAAAATAAAATGCCAAACTATACTGAATATTCTGTATACAACTTGCAACAAAGAATCTCTGATTTTGCATCTGCATTTAGAACAGTTACTACTAAATTTTTAAAATACACTAAACAAATCATCCTCTTGGAGAAGTAGATGGTAATTCATGTTGCATTGGTTGATAGTTCCCACCTACGTCATGGTAGTCTCCTGTTGTCTTTCTGGTTCCCCTAAACAAGCTAGATGACTGGAAAGTTCTTGTACTGGGTTGTCAAAATCAATACATTTGAACAGAGGTTGGCACAGAACCGCAGAACAGAGTTTATTTAATTTCCCCTTTTGTTTCCAAAAACACCACTATCCAAATAGACACATTTTACTGGGAAAATGAAGGATATAGTATGGTGACCCTGGACACATTGTATGGCCTTCAGTTTTTAGTATGTTGACAGCGACATGTTTAGCAGTTTAAATGTTATTCTTACTGTCAACATCCAGACCTTAAAGATATTAATTATAAAGCAAATAGTTTACAGCACTAGCTGAGAAATACATCTGTCTGGCCTAGAATAGGAAGATAAGATTGTGGACATCAGAGCACCCTGGGAAGTGGCTTGGGCCAAGAGGAAGGAGAGTCCAAATGGAGCCATGTCATGTCTTTGTCTCTCAGTGCCTGTGCTCAGTGTTCATGAAGGACGTCACTTCAAATGTGTTTTTGAATGTTAGCTATGTTTATAGTGTGTGGACTATATTACACTTTTTTTTTTTAGGAAACAGAAGAATGCTTATTGACTACATAGAAAAGAGAATTCAAATGAACAATAAAAAAGTACTCAATTTTTATTTTCCTATTAAGAAAACAAAAGTCAGAAAACGTCCAAAGGAGTCAAGAAAGGGTAACATGAATTTAGTTTTTAAAACATGGCTGTAACTGAAAGCAAACAGGACCTTGCATACATTTCTTTATCCAGAGCCTTTCCTGCAGAATAGCTTTCATTGTTTCATTTTCTAATCCTCTAATTTAATTAAATGCATCTGCCAAGCTAGAGAGAACTTAAAAATTACAAATACAGGTAATGCTGAAAACTCCAGTTACTCAGCAAGCTTATTTTACCATTTCCCCCACATTGGGGGCCTATGAAAAAACTAATGTGGGGGATTCATCTTCTAATGTCTTATTGAGACATCCTTTCTTCTTTTAATGCAATACAAACACACATTTCTTAAGAAAATATGTAATAGTATATTCTTTTGGCAGGTACTCTGTGCAAAACTGTCACAACAAAGCTGAGCATCGTATGATACAGGTCACTGGAACAGTTCTTACAATCTGTGCTCATCATCTTCAGTCCATTACAACGACTAGACTGTCATTTTCCTGAGCCTGCACAGTTCACTGACCCTAGTATCTCTTAGTAGCTAAATGGGATTTTTTTTTAAAAGATTGATAGTCCTTAAAAATTTTTTTTATTAATATAAATTAGCATAGCAATGTGCCCAAGAGGTCTCTGTTTTAACAGGCTGGTCCTGATCCATAGTGTGCCACCATCTCCTGCAGGGGACAGTCGAGCAGGGTGGACACTTTATGCAGTGAAAATTACAAACAAGTCATCATAGATCCAATAGTAAGTATCACCAAAGGCAACAAAAGACATTGCCTCGTTGTTCATGTCAAAATGATTCCCCAGATAATATTAATTAAGAAAAATGAGGGACCAAATTCGATAAGCCATGTCCTTATGAAATAAATGAATGCAATTCTCTTTACCATAAACAGGACACAGACAGATTCTTTAAAATAGATCCTTTAATATGATTTCTTTCAAAACTAATTTATTTGTACATGTTTTTTAAAAGCAATATAAGCAACCTTATCAGTCAAACTCCCTGTATGACATTATAGTTATCAATGGTTTTCGTTGCAGGCATTTTTACTACCATGAGGATTTTTAAGGTACTTTGGATTAGCATAAGACCTCTTCCTCCTTAGCAGAGAGATGCTACCTCACATACACATAAAATAACAATTAACAGGCTTTGATATATAAGTAGGAAAGAATTTTTGCTACAACTCTGCTTCATAAGTTTAGAAATCTAGACTAAAATATTTCACCAGAAGGACTTGATTATCATATCTTTTCGAGGGCAGTGAATCCCAAACTTGATTTGATTGGTTTCTGTAGTTTACCTCAAATAAAACCCAAGAATATTGCCTTCTGCGTAGGAGATACTCAACATATATGTGCTCAGCATATGAGTAAACCAAAGGTTTCCCAACCAATGCCCTCCTCATGCCTCGTATCTAAGAGGATTCATAAAAGATTTTGAGTGGGTCTTAGACACCTCTTGCTTTGATATATTTAAGTAATTTAAAATGAGTAAAAGTTGGGAGATGATATAGTGAAATTCCTGGTAAGACTGTGTAAGAACTAGCTTTAGCCAGGAAGAGGAACACCTGTTTCCATTCGGTAGAAGGAAGGAGGTAAACCTTAACACGTTGGCAGGTGGGTTTGTTGGGGGAATGGGTGGTACAGGGAAGGGAGAGAACTGAGGTGGTATCCATCTGATAACTTCCAATTATCTGTGAAGTATAAAGCTAGCTCAGTCTTCAAAAATTTTTTTCAGCTCTATTGACAAACAAAATTGTATACATTTAATGTGTACTATGTGATGTTCTGATATACATATACATTGTAAAATGATTACCACAATCAAGCTAACATATTTGTCATCTCACATAGTCACCATTGTGTATGTGTATGTGTGTGTGTGTGTGTGGTGAGAATACTTTAAATCTATTAACTATAATCACCATAATGTGCATTAGGTCTCCAGAACTTTATTCATTTTAAAACGGAAAGTTTATACTTTTTGACCAATATCTCTCTTCATTATCCCCAACCTTTCTATCCCCTGGTAACCACCCTTCTACTCTCTGTTTCTGAGTTTAATTCTTTTATATTCCTAATATTAGTGAGATCATTAGTGAGTATCTTTCTTTGTCTGGCTTATTTCACTAAGCATAATGTTCTCCTAGTTCATCAATGTTGTCATTGTCACAAATGTTAGGATTCCTTCCTTTTTAAGGGTTGAATAATATTCCACTGTGTGTGTGTATGTGTAGTACATATATCACATTTTTTTTACCCATTCATCTATAGACAAACACTTAAAATGTTTCCATATTTTGGCTATTCTGAATAATGCTGCAGTGAACATGGGAGTGCAGAAATCTCTTTGGATCATTACTTCATGTCCTTTGGATATATACCCAGAAGTGGGATTATTGGATCATATGGTAGTTTTGTTTTTAATTTTTTGAGGACCCTCCATATTATTTTCTATAATGGCCATACCAATTCACATTCCCACCAATAGTGTACTAGGGTTCCCTTTTCTTCATAGTCTTGACAACTGATAATGAAGGAAGATGAAGTTATAAAATGACTTTTTAAGAATAGTGGAAAAGATTTTAAACATACTAAAAATAGGTTGGGACAAGAGTTTCAAGTGCTGTGAATAAGAGCATAGACTTTGAATTTCTGTAACTGGGAAAGAGTCATTTCATTTGAGATATGAATATTAACTGTGGGGCTTGCAATTAATAAATCACTGATGATTTCAGTAAAGGTGAAAGTCAAACTGTAATAGAATGAGGAGTAACAGAGTAGAAAAAATGAGGTGAGTTCAGAAAGTAAGGCAAACTGCCTAATCCAGAATTTTCTACTCCTGGGATCTATCGTAAAAATCTCCGAGAATTTGGTGTGCCTCTCATTCAATCTCCCCTTCAAGTCCAAACCCGTGGAGTATACTAACAAAGATGATCAGCCAGATGGAAAAAGAAAATTAATTTTATTAACTTCTGTAAGCATAATATGATGGACGATGTGGGGCTGCTTGGTAAAAGCTCGACAAGAGAATGTGACTTGACCACAGGCCAAAGTGAGGCCTCCTATCCTTACAACAGATGAGTGTTTTAGGCCATACCTGTCTAGCAGTGCACTGGGGGCGAGGGATTGGGGAGGGTTATAAAGAGAAAGAGCACGATAATGTGAGAACCAGCCAGACACCAGGAAAGCACCTGAATCTCCAAAACAGTCTCTTACCACACAGGTTGACTGAAAGGTCTTAAAGGATGGTCAGGCTGTCCTGTAGAAGTCAGGGAGTCATGGAAGCTGCATCAGAGGACTATACACTCCAGACAGACAAGAATTATACATGGTTTTGTTTACCACTGTAAACCCAGCAAAATACCTGACACAGTGAATATTCATTAAATTAGTAAATTCATTTAAAAATACAACAATCTTAAAATAACTATTTCAAGATGCCCTACTTTGACCAAGGAGTGAGAAAATACAGCCAGAGCTGATAATCAACAAAGACGCACGGGCACCCTTGGAGCAATTATGTCAGTTGCCTTTCATTATAGGTATGACAGCATCTGCTCTGAGGGGCCAATGCCCATATTTTGGAGGTTAGTAAATATTTAAAATTTTCCCCTGGGTAAGAATTTAAGTGGGAAGTCCAACTTAAAGACAGAAAAATGTCACCTTTACGTCAGCAATATCTCAATTTTTATCAACATAAATTATCAGATTTTTATCCATTGATTTCTCAAGTAATTTTTTAATTTTTGAACATAATTATAGTCTGCTTATTCCCAATCTTTTGAAAACATTATTTTTTATAAACTTGAAATATAAATTTCAAATAAAAGTAAGTATTAAGTATAAATAAATTTGAGAAGCATTTTTACAAATCAATTTACATTTGGAAATATACAAGATACATGTTTTTCAAGATGTATATTATTCTAGACAATGACCTTATTGTCCTTTTTACTGCATTTTGTGTTAGACTCTTCTTCAGAGAATGCCTTCATATGTTCTCCATGACTCATAGAGGAGAGGGCCTAAATTCATGTAATATTGTCATTTATTCAACATATTTACTGAGCACTTACTTGGTCCTGCATTGCTAGGTATAATGGATACAGTGGTGGCAAATGCTAACATGTTCTCGTAAGTCCAATATGGAAAGATGATGTTCATCAGATGATGACATTACCAACTCTGTAATTTTGTACTGGAGGAAAGGAACCTGTCCTAAACTCCCGCCTCAAGGAAGGCTGACCTTGGAAGATAACAAGTGAACTGGGATGTAAGGAGTGACCAGGAGTGGAGGAGACAATTATCTATGCAGAGGAAACAATCTTTGCAGAGGCCTTTCGACAGAGAAATTATAATGTTCATCTTAACTGATGCTCTCAATTCTTTTGTAGATTGCATAAATGGTGCCCCTGGGGTACCTCACTAGCTACCTTTCACGGCTGAGCAGTGGTCCTGCAAGTATGGCTTAAATTACAGTAGTGCAAGGAGAGCTTGGAATGACAAGAGTTAACCTACGTTGGGTTTAAAAATCATTTTAAATATTCTTGTCCATTTCGGATCTTTAAATTGTGAAGCCACATAGATTCAGAAGGACTATTCTAACTGTAGTATGGGGAATAGAGTGGAGGTAGAACAGAGTGAATTGGAGACAGCAGGTAAGCAGGTAAAGCAGTTGTCCAGTTGAGAGAATATGGTGACAACGAAGGTGGTGAGAGCCTCCCAGAATTACAAGGATGGAATCATCCTTACGTTTTTGCTTAATCCACTTCCAATCTAATGTTTAATCTCTTCTATAAAATCACTACCAGGTTGCTATGTACTTCTCTTGAACACCTTCCAATGTTGATCTAAAATAAAATTATATGTAGGCTAGTTAGTATAACTGAGCAATAAAGTATACAGACTGGATTCAGACTATTTCATTGCAAACCCACTATTACTTTGCATGACCATGGGAAGTTTTTTTTTCATCTATGCCTCACTGTAACAGTGGTAATAGGACTTACTTCAGAGAATTGTGATAATTAACTAAAATAATGTGCTTTTAGGATGCAGCACAGTTCTTTGCAATAAAAGCTCAAGAATTAGAATTTTATATCAATAGGTGATTAAGTTTGATTTATAAAGCTATAAAACAAACATGTGAGTCATCTTGGTATCATAGTCTTTCATGATCATTTTAAGACAAAGTGAATATTTTACAGTGTACTATATTGGAACTTTTCTTTTCAGACATTAAAACCAAGGTACTTCCGTTCATTAAAAAATCCTACTGTTCATTTCTCTTTATTCTAGTGTCCTTGACATAAATTGTTGATATTGGGATATATACTTCGATGCCAAAGATCCTGTCTTAACTCTGGATAGTTAATACATTGAAATATCCTTAAAAGTTAATTGTATTAATTATGTTTAAAATTCTGACTTATGTCTCCAAAGTAGAATGTGAAATGAATATAAATTTAGCTGTAATGGAGAAATAGAGATTATAACTTGATGAAAGTAATATTTATGGACCTTATTAATTCTCTAAAATACTTGAGTGTTTCTGGTCTAAAGTGGGAGCCAATTCAACTGTTGTGATATAAAATACATTCACTTTTTATTGAAGAATAATACTTCTTAATACTATAATAAAGTTTTTACTAATGGCTTAGTTTTGCTAAGGGATAGACATTATTTTGGCCTTTATCTTTAACCTGCATAGATTTTAAGGGCATTGGCATGACAAAAATGATGACAATCATTATTGAAAAAAGCCAACTCAATTATTCTCATCATTGAAAAGGGACACATAGGTATTTCAGGGTGTCACATTTTGAAAGTACAAAATGTTCTATATGCGTTTTTTTTATTTCATGACAATGTAAATTTAAGCATAATCTAGTATTTTATATTTAGTGATGTTTACTCATTTTACTTTTTATTACTTAAGGAATAAACATTTGGGTTATATTATTGTTGATTCATGTTATGATTTTTATTCACGGCAATTCCTTTGCAAAGAACACAGATAATGCTTAATGCTCCTCTTATATCCCAAAGGATGATTTGACAATTACTGACAATGGAATATATAAATTAAAATTTAAGCAATATGGAGGTTCTCTTTCTTATAATTTATATTAATTTGTTCATCAATTCTTTCACAAGAATTTATAATGTTCCTATCGAATATCTGCATGAAATATATTCCACCAGATTCTAAAGGTATATGCCTTTAAAAAAAATCAATCTGTGTCCCTGAGAGTCTAATGGCAACGTAGACAAACACAACATGACTGCTTTAAAGCACTAGGCCTGACATCCAGTCTAAACACAGAGGAAAGAAGACCTAAGACTGCTGAAGGAGTTCAGCAAAGGTTTCACAAAGAAACTTAAAGCTGAAGGTTATGTAGGAGTTTTTATGGTGAACTGAAGATGTAGGAAGGCAGTATTCCACATAAAATGCTTCCAAAGGTCTGGAAGCATACAAATCTCAAGTAATTTAGTATGTACAAAGTGTATATTAGGGGATAAAGCTAAGAGATAATTAGGAATGCTAGTTAGGGGCCATATCATGAAGAATTATTCAGAAGAGCTCAGTTTTACATAGTTTAAAGGCAGCCAATGGGGGAGAAAACATTTTAACAAAGGAATATAGTGATCAGATTTTTTTTTCAAAAGATTACATTTTCAATAGTTTAGAAGATGGATTGCAGAAGTTTGAGACTGAAAGTAGGAAGACCAGAAGAGAGAGAGAGAAGCTGAACCATTTAGTAACAGTGAGGAGAAGTAAGAACAGATAGAAAAGATAAGTTGGGGGTAGGGGGGATGGAGTTTAATATGAAGAGTAAAGTAAAGGAAGATGGGTAGAGTGATTCCTACATTTTTGACTTGGACAACCAAATGGATTATGTAGCCAAACAGTAAGTGGGAATCCAGGAGGAGAAACAGATTTGTGTGGGATAGGAAGATATGTTCATTTGAATTAAAATGAAAATATCATGTTGTGGGTATATTAAATGAGGTTGCTTTTTATAAAAGCAGCTCAGTGGCTCTCTGTGTTAGTCATAGTACATTTATTTATTCAACATTCTTGCAGAGGAATAACAATGCCAAGGCAGGGTAATGGGTGGGGGCAGACAGTGCAATAATGAATATGCATGCTCCCCACCCTTCAGAAGCTTACAATTGAGCAGGAGAGTGGTAATATACTACACAAATAATCAGTTTGTATCTTAAGAGATGTTCAGAATGATTAGGAGAATTCAGGTAAGAAAGAGATTATATTTAGTGACAAGTTTCAGTAAATATAATTGAAAATAAAAGGT